ATGCTTCAAGCCAAATCACGTAATTAAAAAAACATATTCACAGTGATGTGAATCTCCCAATATATTTCATAATCACATTTGTTAAGTTAGAAGGTTGTTTTAGGCACTTCCTCTGATAAAGAAAAAAAAATTGGTTGACATTTAACAAATAGTTCAATGTATTTTCCTTCTGTTAAATTCAGATAAAATGACATGCATTTATTTTAAATTAAAATGTAGCCTTTTTAGAGGACACGCATTACTTACAACGTGGTTCTTATTTGCCTGGTTTCTTTCCTCCGTCCCACACTGGTGGTGGGTACGTACGTTCCCTGAGCCCTGATTGCAGCGCTCATTCTGTTCTCCTGCTGTTTTTAGTGGGGCTTGCCGAAATTAAATTTATTTTATATTGTGAGTTAATTCTACAGAATTCTGCTGCTTAGTGAGACATGTAATTCACTGCAGAATAAATTTCCAGAAACCGATTCTGACATTTAATCATTGTCTATCCAGAAACCTTTTTTTAAAAACTGAAAACTATTTTGCTCCTATGATGCCAAACAATTAACACTTATTGATTATCTACTGTGTGTAACTAGTGTGGCTGTCTTCACTTCAGATAGTGTGAGGAAATACTATTTCTACCACTATAGCTTTCTTAATTTAATTGAGGGAGACACATTGCCAATGTTTTCCTGATGTTTTCCAAGCAAGACTAACTTCTAGGTAGGCTTCCTAGGAGGAAAGAAATAGATATAGTTAAGTTTTTGTATTGGATTTTGTTTATTAATTTTTTAAGAAATAGTTATTGAGTTTTGAGGTATCTATAAAAGTTATTGTTGTGATCAAAAGACATAGAATCACTGCTCAACCTGAAACACAAAATAGAGATTGATTACCTAGGTGAGTAGCTCATTCAGTCCCAGTGAACCCTCCCTGTCAGAATTCATGCCTTAGAGCAGCAGTTCTCAACCTGTGGGTCGTGACCCCTTTGGGAGTCAAACGACCCTTTCACAGGGGTCGCCCAATTCTAACAGAAGCAAAATTACAGTTATGAAGTAGCAATGAAAATAATTTATGGTTGGGGGGTCTCCACAACATGAGATTGTATTAAAGGTTCACGACATTAAGAAGGTTGAGAACCACTGCCCCGGAGTGAGTTGTCTTGCCCCCATTAATCTCTACTGTGCCCTCATTCCCTTTGACCCCAGGAATATGACATTGATCTGGGCCATTTGCAGCGCAGACCCCATTTAAATTTTTTTTTCCTTCCAATAATGGTGTTATTAAATATTTATCCTTATAAGAGTGACTAAATTTGCTAAGTATGATGCCTTTTTAGCTTTGTTCTTCTTGTCTTATGGTATTTAAGAGAGTTGTCATTGTTTTTTTTATTGATGTATACTAGTACATAGTATGAATGTATCAAAGCTTGCTTACCCATTCCTCTGTAATTGGGTTTTTGATTGCTTATATGTTTTTGCTATTATGGAAATTGCTACAATAAACATAGGTGTTCATATGTCTGTTTATGTTTTATTCTTGATTTTTAGGGTGTATACCCAGTAGAGAAATTGGTGGATTATAAGGTATTTACGTTTGTTTAAGGAAGTGCCATACTGATTTCAATAGTGGTAGCCCAATTCTGTAGTCCCACTGACAATATAAATATCTTCTGATTTCTCCGCATTCTCTCCAGCATTTACTATTTTCTGTTTTATTGAACTTTGCTAAAATGCCTGTGTGAGATGGTATTTTATCATTGTTTTAATTGGTATTTCTCTTGTTGCTAGTGAATTTGAACCTTTCTTTATATGGTGGTTGGTTGTCTGGATGGCATCTTTGGGAAACTGTTTATTCACGTCTTATGCCCATTTTTGATAGAATAATTTGGATTTTTCTTGTTAAGATTTTTCATTTTCTATAAATTTTAGAGATTAGCCCGTTATCTGATGTATTATTACTGAATATTTTTTCCCAATCTGTGGGTTGTTATTACTGAATATGTTTTCCCAGTCTGTGGGCTGATTCTTTTGATGAAGTCTTGATGTGTATAAATGTCATGTTTTTAGTAGGTCCCGGTTCTTTATTTTGCCTTCTATAGTTAATATATGTTTCATTATGTCCAGTAGTATATTTATACTTTGTATTAGGACTCTTAAGTTTGTCCCTTTTCTTTCATTGATGATCTTTATAATTACGTGGTTTATATTTAGATCTTTGATCCATCTTGAGTTTGTTTTTGGCACATGTCATGAGACATGGGTCCTGGTTCATTCTTTTCCAGGTTAAGATCCAGTTTCTCCAGCACCATTTGTTGAAAAGACTATCTCTTCTTCATTTAATGTGTTTTAGTCATTGTGGCAATTACATAATCTCCGTCAACTTGAGTGAAGGGATGGAGTCTACCCTGTCAATCAGGTCATACCAAACCATGCCTTTCTGTGGGCCTGGCCTTCTCCTGAGGCTTCTGGGAACTCCTGTCTTTTTTCCTGGAGGCAGGACACACACTCTCTCTGCTACACATTCCTATGGACAAGACACTGGAGCTGGAGGAACCATGTGAAAACCCACACAAACACTGAGATGCTTCCACCACCACTGGATCCACTAGCCTTTCCCCCCACTGGCCTGTGATCTTCCTACCTTTGGCGTCATTGCATGTGTTGCATGAGTCTAAAGAGGAATTTATACACTGGTATAGGATATATGGGCTAATATCGGACTTATTGATTCAATCCTGGCCTGAGCTAGGATGTTTTCTCAATATAAAATTGCTCTTTTATATAAAGCTCTTTCTTTCTCTTAAAAAAATTTTTTTTAAAAATTTTAACTCATTTTATTAGGGGCTCATACAACTCTTTTAACAATCCATACATACGTCATTTGCGTACAGCACATTAGTGTATATGTTGCCATCATCATTCTCAAAACACCTGCTTTCTACCTGAGCCCTTGGTATCAGCTCCTCATTTTCCTCTCCCTCCGCTCTCCCCCCTCCCTCTGAACCCTTGATAATTTATAGATAATTATTATTTTATCATATCTTACACCATCCGACCTCTCCCTCACCCAGTTCTCTGCTGTCCGTCCTCCAGGGAGGAGGTTATATGTAGACCTTGTCATCTGTTCCCCCTTTCTCCCTCACCTTCCCTCTACCCTCCTGATTTCGCCACTCTCACCACTGATCCTGATGGGTTCATCTGTCCTGGATTCCCTGTATTTCCAGTTCCTATCTGTGCCAGTGTATATCCTCCGGTCCAGCTGGATATGTAAGGTAGAATTGGGATTATGATAGTGGGGGTGAGGAAGCATTTAAGAACTAGAGGAAAATTGTATGTTTCATCGTTGCTACACTGCACTCTGACTGGCTCGTCACATCCCCGCAGACCTTCTGCAAGGGGATATCCAATTTCCACCGGATGGGTCCTGGGTCTCCACTCTGCACTCCCCCTTATTCACAATGCCTTGATTTTTTTTTTTTTTTGTCTTTGATGCCTGATACCTGATCCCTTTGATGCCTTGTCATCTCACAGGCTGGTGTGCATTTTCCATGTGGGCTTTGTTGTTTCTTAGTTAGATGGCCCCTTGTTTATCTTACAGCCTGTGGGACTCCAGATTCTATATATTTTGACAACTGGACTTCATCAGCTTTCTTCACTGCATTTGCCTATGCACCCGCTTTGTCTTCAGCGTACGTGTCGGAGTAGGCTGGTGTACTTCTTCCATGTGGGCCTTGTTGTTTCTTAGCTAGATGGCCACCTAATTGTCTTCAAGCCTTTATGACCCCAGACACTATATCATTCGATAGCCTGGCCCCATTAGCTTTCTTCACAACTTTTGCTTATGCACCCACTTTGTCCTCAGCGATCAAGTCGGGACAGGCCAGTGTGCTTCTTCCATGTGGGTTTTGTTGTCTCTCAGCTAGATGGCTGCTTGTTTATCTTCAGGTCTTTAAGACTTCAGGTGCTATATCTTTTGGTAGCTGGGCACCATCAGCTTTCTTCACCACATTTGCTTGTGTACCCATTGTCATCAGCGATCATGCCAGGCTAGTGAGCATCTCAGACTCCCGAATTGTTAGAACAAAGTGTTCTTGTGTTGAGGAAATACTTGTGTAGGGGCCCACTGGCCATCTGTTTCCTTAATACTAAACCTATAAATATATGTACATAGATCTATTTCCTCCTTGTTGTATATAAATATATTTACATCTTTATATGCCTCTATTTAAATCTCTATGACTACTCTTTGCCTCCTAGTTCTTTCCTCTGTTTCTTTGTACTTTCCTCTTGTCCCACTATCATGTTCTGCCTTCATTTGGGTTTTAGGAATTCCTCTTGGTTACATTGCCCTTGATCCAGCCCTGCCAGACCTCCCACACCCTCCTTGGCACTGATTTTGGATCACTTGTTATTCCCTTGTCCCTGGGCCTGTTAACACCCTCTTCCTTTCTCCTGCCTCCCCTACCCCTATGTCCCCCGGGAGCTGTCATCCCGTTGTTCTCTCTTCTTTATTCCATAAAGCTCTTTCTTATACACATATGAGAGTCTATGAATTTGTTTCTCTAGTCAACGCAGACTAACACAGTCATTTACCAAAGATTAGATGTCTATGAATATTTGGTTCTATTTCTGGATTCTAAATTCTAAGTCACTGGTTTTCATAGCCATCATTGGTACCCTACTAGGATGTTTTGATAGTTATTATTATTTTTGGTCTATTGGTTGTTATGGAGAAGTATAGCTGTTGTAAAAGATATTTGGTCATCCCTGGATCATAGCATATTGAAACGTGAGATTTGTCCTTGATGATGAAGAGGTAATATATCAGGCATAATTTTAATTCATTTTCAAATCAATAGTTTCTTTTTTCTTTGCATTGCAATGGCACTTTGATATGTAGTTTAAGGCCTGTTTCTTGATAAGGAATACAATGTTACTCATTTTAACACTCCAAAAATATAATATGAAATTATTTCCCCCTCAAATAACTCTGTTTTTTCCCCCTCTTAATTTTAGGAGCGAACACTTGCTCTGAGGAAAGAAGGAATTGGCGTTGTCCTAGACTCTGAACTACCCCATTTGATTGGCATTGATGATGACCTTCTGAGTACTGGAATCATCTTGTATCATTTGAAGGTAGCAACCGCTTAAGTGGAACATTCTAATTTTGTTTCAAGATTTTACTTAAGGTCCTTACTAAATCAATTATAATATGAAGGGACTTCAAAACGTTTAAGGAAAATAGAAGTAAAAGGTATAAAAATTTTCCACAAACGTTTTGAAACCCCCTCATATTCTCTGACTATGAACCTATCTGTTGAATAGTCTAGAACAAATATTCAAGCTATTTTAACATTCTAACAGTTCAGATTCTGTGGTGGTAAAAAGTTCCCGTGTTTATGTATTTTTAAAGCTAAATAATGATCTATTGACTTTGGCTTCCATTTTATAGAATCAATTAGAAGGAGGCAAGGAGCAAACAGATAGGCAGAGGAAGACCAGTTTATAAGCAGCTAGAATGAGGATTTATTGTGTGCAGCTCCCCGGCCTTTGGCAGTAATTATAAAACTATAACTTTCACTTGCATTGCTGGGCTTGGTCCTGAGCCAGGTTGCTAGTATTAAGACAGCAGCATTCTGCATACGTAGAGGTCATTGCTTCTGTGACCTTGACTTCTATAGCTTCTCTGTGGTGTATGACTTAAAATTTTGTGAAGTCTCATAAAATGTATCTTTAGAAATCAGTGAATCCCTGTCCACTAGAGAAGAAGCTCTTCAGAAAGGATAAGGAAACATCAGTGAGTGAGATTACTCTCACAAACAAATAATCCATGCATGCCAAAATCAGAGCCATTGTTGTGCGTTAAGCACTGGAAGCTTCTCTTTTGTTTCCCAGACAACATGTTACAGTGTCTCCATGAACTCTAATTATATTCAGAGGTAGCCTGCATGAGACGTTATTCACCTCATTGGTCACCAGATTGCTTAGGCTTAAATGAGAAATGGTGAAACAAATCATTTATACTGCTCATACTAATATACTTCACTTTACTTTTCTTCCCAGGAGGGCCAAACATATGTTGGTAGAGAAGATGCTTCAACAGAACAGAATATTGGTGAGAATCTGCCAATCATTTTTTCCCAATAATTAAAGAAAACATTTCATTAGAATTATGTTGAAGTAATTGTCAAAAAGAAAGCTTTCGAATATGATAGTGATCATTATATTGTTTCAATATTTACATGCAACTCAAATGAGTGATGCATCGCAATTAATGTAGTGAATACAGTAGAACTTTTGACTCTTTTCTCACACTTGCTTATATTCTAGTCCCTGTCATGTCTTTCAAGTGTACATTTATTTAAATCAATGTATACTGTCAAAATGGGACAGTGGTTGAGGGCATAATTCCTTTCTCATGGAAGGATACAGACTTACATACAAAGGTGACTATAGAAAGTCCACATTGCCATACACAGCATACACAGAGGGAGGCACAACTGGATTTTTTTCCCCTGGAAAATCTTTAGGAGGTACACAGATAACAAGTGACTCTGAGTTTAGTAAGCGGCTACTCATAATTACCCTGCAGGACATTTTTACTTATGGTGGTGGCCATGGGTGTATAAGGGAGAGGACTTCAAAAAGTTCCTGGAAAAATTAAATGAAACGATAATAAGCTTTGCTCTATGGATTTTTGAAGCCCCCTGTTATGTGTGTGTGGCAGGATAGGAATTATATCATGGCAGTGGTTTCTACTGTTGAGCCAAGAGTTACACCAAACCTAACTAATTCCTACTTCTGTTTACTATTTACTGGGAAGCTACACAAGGCCTCTTTAAAGTGTTGAAAAACAAGGATGTTAATTGAGGACTAAGGTGTGCCTGACCCAAACCATGGTATTTTCATTTGCCCCATATGCATGCAAAAAGTCAGATATTCAATAAGGAAGATTGATGTAAAACAGATGCATTTGACCTATGATGTTGACAAAGTATTGAAAACACTAGAGACTGCCAGAAGAACAAATAGGTCTGTCTTTAAAGACGCACAGACAGACTACTCTTGAGAGACTTTGTCTCACGTGCTTGGGACATGTTATTCGGAGACCGGTTCCTAGAGCAGGAGGCCCTGCTTCCTAAAGTGGAGGGGCAGAAAAACAGAGGAAGGCCCTGGATGAGATGAGTTGTCGCAGTGCTGTAATGGGCTCTAATGTAAGAACGACCGAGAGGATGGCGCAGGACTGAGCAGGGTTTAGTTCTGCTGGGCCTAGGGTCCTAGGAATTGGAACTAACAACACCGCGAAACAGGGAGAATTGAGAGGCAATCCCTAGAGTTTCTTAGGCTTCACTATTGAACAGAAGTAGCTATGTCCCCGGGGCACGAACAACGGAAAAGTGGGTGAGGGGCGACAGAGGACGATATAAGACATGAAAATAATAATCTGTAACTTATCAAGGGTTCGTGAAGAAGGGCAGGTTGGGGAGCGAGGGGGAAGAAATGGGGAGCTGATATGGGCTCAAATGGGAAGAGAATGCTTTGAAAATGATGATGGTAGCATATGTGCAAGGGTGTTTGACACACTAGATTAATGTATGAATTGTGATAAGAGATGTAAGAGCCCCCAATAAAAGTATTTTTAAAAAAAGAATATAAGGCCTAGCCTCATAACAAATATTGAAAAGTTATGTCAAAATAATAAATATATTTCACCTATTTAAAAAAAGAAGTAGCTATGTCTTCTAATCATTGAATGATATGCTTTACCTTTGAGTAGAGCAAGAACATACACTTAAAAAATATATACAGTGAACCCTCGCCACTTCGCGCTTCTACTTCCGCGACTTCACTCTATCGCGGTTTTTGCGTAACAACGCATGCTCTGTCATTTCTGCCACTGATTGGCTCATACTGTACACACTTGATGCCATAAATAATATAATAAATAATAAATGATAATTGTAACGTCCAAAATGTTTTACTGTATTTCCCCTTTTTTGTTTAATAAATTGGGTAATTCGAGTGTAATGGTGACTAAAGGGTGTTTTTCATGTCCTCTATACTCTATATAACTACGAAAATATTTGATTTACAAATAAGGAATCCTACTTTGCGGAATTTCATTTATCATGGTAGGGTCTAGAACCGATTAACCGCGATAAACGAGGGTTCACTGTATATATAATTTTATTAGGGGCATTTTACATCTCTTATAACAATCCATACATCAATTATATCAAGCACATTTGTGCATATGTTGCTATCATCCCTTTTTTTTTTTTAAATCATTTTATTAGGGGCTCATACAACTCTTATCACAATCCATACACACATCAATTGTGTAAAGCGCATTTGTACATTCATTGCCCTCATCATTCTCAAAACATTTTCTCTCCACTTAAACTTCCGGCATTAGGTCCTCATTTTTCCCCTCCCTCCCCGCCACCCCTCCCTCATGAGCCCTTGATAGTTTATAAATTGTTATTTTGTCATATCTTGCCCTGTCCGACGTCTCTCTTCCCCCACTTTTCTGTTGTCCGTCCCCCAGGGAGGAGGTCACATATAGTTCCTTATAATCGGTTCCCTCTTTCCTACCCACTCTCCCTCTACCCTCCCTGTTTCGCCACTCACACCACTGGTCCTGCAGGGCTCATCCGCCCTGGATTCCCTGTATTTTCAGTTCCTATCTGTTCCAGTGTACATCCTCTGGTCTAGCCAGACTTGCAAGGTCAAATTCGAGTCATGGTAGTGGGAGCGGGGAGGAAACATTTAGGAACTAGAGGAAAGTTGTATTTCTCATCGTTGTTACATCGCACCCTGACTGGCTCATCTCCTCCCCGAGACCCCTCTGCAAGGCGATCTCCAATGGCCTACTAATGGGCTTTGGGTCTCCACTCCACACTCCCCCCATCATTCACTATGGTAAGATTTTTTGTTCTGATGGCCATCATCCTTTTCAAAGCATTTTGTTTCTACTTGAGCCCTTGCAATCAGCTCCTCTTTTTTTCCCTCCCCTCCCTTCTCACCCTCATGGACCCTTGATAAATTATAAATTATTTCCATATACCACCTGCTGTCTCCCTTCACCCACATTACTGTTGTTCATCCCCCTGGGGAGGGGTGTGGAATTATATGCTGGTCATTGTAGTCAATTCCCCGTTTCTCCCCATTTCCCCCCCAACTTCCCCTTACCCTCATGGTATCACTACTTCCATTGCCATTCCTGAGGGATTTATCTATCCTGGATTCTGTGTGTCGAGAGCTCTTATCTGAACTAGTGTACATGCTCTGGTCTAGCTGGATTTGTAAGGTAGAACTGGGGTCATGATAGAAGGGGCACGGGGGAGGAAGCATTAAAGAACTAGAGCAGTGCTTTTCAACCTTCCTAATGCTGCGACCCTTTAATACAGTTCCAAATGTTGTGGTGATTCCCCAACCATAAAATTATTTTGTTGCTACTTCATAACTGTAATTTTGCTACTGTTATGAATTGGGCAACTCCTGTGAAAGGGTTATTCAACCCCCAAAGGGGTCACAACCCACAGGTTGAGAACCACTGAACTAGGGGAATGTTAAGTTTGTCATCCGTGCTGTACTGCACCCTGGCTGGCTCCTCCCTTCCTTCTGACCCTTCTGTGAGGGGATGTCCAATTATCTACAGATGGTCTTTGGGTTTTTACTCCGACTCCCCTTGTTCATATCAATATGATTGTGTGTTTGGGTCTTCTGATGCTGTTACCTGATCCTGTCGACACCTCGTGATCACACAGGCTGGTGTGCTTCTTCCATGTGGGCTTTGTTGCTTCCCTGCTAGATGGCCCCTTGTTTAATTTCAAGCCATTAAGACTCCAGACAATATATATTCTAATAGCCGGGCAACATCAGCTTTTTTCACATTTGCTTATGTACCCATTTTGACATTAGTGATAGTGTTGTGAAGGTGAGCATCACAGAATGCCAGGTTATTAGAACAAAGTGCTCTTGCATCGAGGGAGTACTTGAGTAGAGGCCCAATGTCTGTCTGCTACCTTGATACTTAACATATAAATATATGTACATAGACCTTTGTCCTTATTGTTATATATTAATAAAAATGCATATATGCATGCCTATATTTATACCTCTATAAATGTCCTTTGCCTCCTAGTTCTTTCCTCTATATCCTTTTAATTTCCTCCTTTCCCACTATCATATTTGACCTTCATTCAGCTCTCAGTAATTCCTTTCGGCTACATTGCACTTGATCAAACCCCACCAGGTGTTCAGGATCTTCCTTGCCATTGATTTTAGATCTCTTGTTGTTCCCTTCTCCCTGGGGACTATATACTTTTTGTGAGCAGATTTGAGTAACACAATTCTTTGTAGATGTAGGAGCTATTTGATGTGTATGCCTAAGAAGCTGGTCAAGAAGTGTGGGTAAAATATGGTATATTTATTTAACAGGTTTATTTTCTAGGCATTTATTGTATAAGAATAACCACACGTGAATAGTTGAACCTGTGCAAACACAGCTCTCTGTAAGTTTTATGACAGTCTAGGTCTGTCAGAATTGGCAAAGGCTACCATGATGTGCATCCTTGTATCTTCCTGGAAATATCTTTGGCATGCTCAACCTTCCTTTAGTTTCTGTTTCATGAACACAATATCTTTTAGGGTCAAGTACACATCAATATTCTATGGCCTTTGGGTGGATGATGGTGCAGACATTATTCAGTGTCAAACAGTTGACTCAGTGGTAATCACTGAAGACAAGTTACTGAAGTATGGCATATTCGCTCTGCATATGAAATAAATTACTATCTTATAATTTATTTCCTCATACAAGTGATATCTAGAAACTTTAAGGTGACTGTTAAGGGATACTTCCAGTTGTATCAGTTGATACTATGAACTTCTAAAATTAAGTTTTCTCACTAAACATGAATGTTTACTTCCTAGTACTTTCACATAGAGGGAGGCCATTAAAAGAATAGAGAGCCTGAGAATCGTTGCAGTAGATCTCAAAGAGAGGTAAAACTCTTGTTTGCTTTCTAATTTAGTTCTTCATGGTCTTGATTTGGAGAGTGAACACTGCATCTTTGAAAATATTGGAGGAACAGTGACTCTGATACCCCTGAGTGGGTCTCAATGCTCCGTGAATGGTGTTCAAATCATGGAGGCAACACATTTAAATCAAGGTATCTGGTTTCCGTTTTTTCACACATCTTTTTATTTATTGTTGCTAGACGATAACTTTATGAGACAAAAGGTGAACATGTGTGTCTTATAATTAATTATATGTTATAGGGAATTCACTTCATTAAGTTGTTTTTTGCATTGTTTTGCTGATGGGCTTCTTTATGTTACACATTTTCCTGTTGAATAAAATTTGAACATATATATGATTGTCTTACTGTTGTTATAGAAATATGACAGTATTTTTTCATTAGTTGGGATTTAATACGTATATCATTTATCCCATAAGAATTGTGACTGTTAAAATAATATTTTGTTTGGATTAATCATTTTATTGCGGGGTTACTATAGATCTTATAACAATCTATTATTCAGTGGTATTAAGCACACTTGTACATATGTTGCCATCAACATTTCCCAAACCTTTCTTTATCTACTTGAGTCCTTGGTATCAGATCCTCTTTTTTTTTCTTTTTTTTCTTTTTTACAGATCCTCTTTTTACCTCTCGTTCACTCTCCCACCTTCATGAATCCTTGATCAAAAAATAATACTTTTAAAGTTAAAAATATTCATAAAATTTAAAACCCTAGCACAATACTTTCTTTTAATCACTTTCTGTTATTTATCTTGTTTTTATGAATAACTATACATATGGGATCTGGTATTATGAATTTTAAAGACAATTATAATATTATAATTATATTATAAAATTAAATTATATTATATTAATGATTATCAATATTATGAAAGATTATTTTAAAATGGAGTAAAATTTTATAAAATATCAATATTATAAAACTATTAAGAAGTTGTAAGAAGAGTGAAAGGATCTTTTTTAAAATACATTTATTGGTATATAATTCACATATCATACAATTTAATAATTCAATTATATCAGGAAGAGTTGTGCAATATATTCACCACAATCAATTTTAGAATATTTTCTTCTCATACTCATTGTTAGCTCTCTACTTCTCCCAAGTACCCATTCCATGCCCTAGGTAATTATTAATCTATGTAGTGTCTCCATAGAGTTACCTATCCTATATTTCATATAAAGAAAATCATACTGAACAAAGAAACAGTAAAAAATGAATAACAGTGACAAAATAGAAAGAAATCAATCTAAAAGAAATCCGAATATATTAAAAAGTGAAACGATATTAAATGGGTGAAATGGTAGATAGGACCAGTGGTATGAGTGGCAAAACAGGGTGGGTAAAGGGAGAATGGGTAGGAAAGAGGGAACCGATTACATGGAACTGTGTGTGACCTCCTCCCTGGGGGACAGACAATCAAAAAGTGGATGAAGGGAGACGTCGGACAGGGCAAGATATGACAAAATAACCATTTGTGAACTATCAAGGGCTCATGCGGGAGGGGGGAGCAGGGAGGGAGGGGAAAAATGAGGACCTAATGTCGGGGGTTTGGATGGAGAGAAAATGTTTTGAGAAACGATGTACAAATGCGCTTTACACAATTGATGTGTGTATGGATTGGGATAACAGTTGTATGAGCCCCAAATAAAATGATTTTTTTAAAAGAAAAAAAAAATACAGATTATACAAAAAAAAAAAAAATGTGGTTTATATCAAAGGGTAAAGCAACATCCTTTTAGTAAAGGATTAATGAAAAAAAAAAAAAAAAAGATAACATGTTAAATTTTACCCTAACTGCATCTGCAATAATCCACTTTCCAATGCACTGTGCATGATAGCAAGGCTGTTCATATCCCTGGTGTGTGCTGAAAGGGGATTTTCCAGAGACTTAATCCATGTGTATTTCCCCATAATTTTCTTGCATTCTGACCTCGTGGATTGCAGCCCAGAGAATAATCACTGTGCCACGCGGGCTCCTTTCTATGCCCAGGAAATAAGAGACCACAGGCTTTGTTGTGGACACTGAAAGTTCAGTTGTTATTATTTCATGAGCGTGGCCATGTCTTTGCCCTCAGATTGAGGGGGAAGATGTTGTCTGAGTGGGTGTTTCCTAATCTACAGTCCTTCCGGGTTTGCCTGTGTGTGTTCACACAGAACACAACACTGGAAGAGGAAGTGGCCAAGAACTAGAAAGCAATAGTAAAGGATTACAATAGAACTAAAGTATAAAAACTGAAGAAAATAAAATAGAAACAAAATTGCCTTGTGAGAGGAAATTGCCAATCCTTTGGTAGTGTTTATTAGTGTTATTGCATGACGAAGGTTTGGCAAGTGGGCCGGTGGGGTGGAGAGTGCATGGGTGAACAAAGCAGGATAGCAGGAGGATATGGAAAAAAATGGAGAAAAATGGGTAATGTTTATGACTGCACCAAGGTATCTACCTGGTCTGCTATCCATCAGGGCCCCAAGAAGCTAGCAACATACGAGGTTTGATTGGCTGATTATATCAGGGGCCAGGGAAATGTGGCTGTTTTAGGGAGGGGTCAAGCCTACAGAAGCTGCCTGATCTGCTGGTCAATGCTAAAGGGGAGTCTATCTGCAAGCATTGCTGTTCACCCACTTTAAGGTACTTGAGCCTTAAAGCTGAGGTTTTTGCTGCCAGAAAGTGCAGGATAACCCTCCTAGTGGGACCTCTCCCATAAATGCTTAGGAGATCTTCCTGTGCTTGCTATCTGGAGGCCATATTTCCCCTCACCCCCTCTTGTTGAATCGGTTTTTACCGTAAGTGTTTTGAAGTTTTTATCAGCTCATTTTAACTTCTCTGCAATATTGATATTACCTTCTGTTGACTTTTCTTTTCTCCCCCATGTAAATTGAGATTTTCTTGGTTTTTTATGTGCTGAATAATTGCATTGCATCCTGAACATTTTTAACCCAATGTTACAGGCTACGGACGTTGTTTACAGTTTTTAGAGAAATGTGGATTTTTGGTTGGATTCAGGACACGAGCTCCTGGAGGCTGCAGTTCCAGCGACAGTTTCATGTTCAAACCCTTGGCAGTTCTTTTCCAGTCTGTATTATGTCTTTGCCACTTCATGGCCTTTCTATGCACTGAGCTCTGCTCTCTGAAGTCACCTTCTCAAATTTCATTCCATCTCCCAAGTTCTTCCTGGTACTTTTGATGTATTCTTTTCTGTCCTCTGGGTAGAAATCTGGAACATATTTACTCTATGGCTTTATGTCCATCTCGTACCTGCTCTCATGGTGAAACAGTAAGAGGACAGAGAGCAAAGGCAGCAAGCCTCTGCTCCCCTTTCTCACACCACAGCTCCATGGGTCAGAGCAGGATGCTCTCCGGCCTCTAGTTCTAGACATCTTTGGGCTCTCTGTTGCCTCCAGGGCACCCTTTACCCACTCTCAATCTGAACTAGGTGGGGGAGGGTTGTCCTGGAGTCCTCTCTCTCTGTACCGATGTTAGTCCAAGCCAGGGATACTGGAGGAAAAAGAAATGGTAAATCTACCATCGGTTCTGTGTTGTTTCAAAAACTCGTCTTCTCCAATCTACGTGCTACTGTTTACTTTTCAGGACTTTCGAGCAACTGCTATATGCAGTGTCTCAGAGTATAGTTACATTAGGCTGGAGAGACAGGGTGGACTGTAAAATGTTTTATTTTATCTGGAATCAAACTCCTTCCAAAGACTGCAAAACAAGGTGAAAAATGACCAAGTCTGAAATCTGCAGGGCAGGAACATATTTATTGTGATGATAGATGGTGAAAAAATGATGTCGTTATCGCTTGACCAAAGTTTATAGTGGTGAAATGCCTAAAGAATTGGAAGAGGGGTTAAGGTAGGAGGTAGGAGCAGAAGAAGACAAAGGCTAGTGATTCACACTTAGATTTCTAGGGCTATTTTCAATGCCAGAATGTTTCTGTGAGTTTTTTCTGGAAGATAGAAGGGAGGCAGTGATTACCATGAAATAGATAAGAACATAAAGGTGAAGGACAGTGTGGCATTTGTGTAGCCCAAAGGGAGAGTGTAGACTCGCAATAGCAGAAGGAGATTGATAGATGTTAGAGTCTGCTAGAGCTTAGGGGAAAAGGAGAAAGGATGCATTTTTGTGAGAATGAATCAGGAGGGAACAGTGGGATGCTGGCAGATTAGAGCATGTTGGAGGCTGGAAATGAATAGTTGAGATTGTTATTGACAGAAGCTATGTATTGTTGTTCCTAACAGAAAATGGACCCCAGGGATGAGTTGAAAGGAAGTTACTAAAAGCAAGACCAATTCAAGCAATACCTTCTTTCTGCACTTTAGCATTTATAGTTTTTTTATCTATTGCCTCAATTCTTTGATGTGTATTCTTCATTTTTCCTTCAGAAGGACAGGATATGTTCCATATACTTGTTTTAGACACCTTCTAAGGAACTCTGGTACTGTAGTGTTTATGAGGAGGCCTGCTAACCAAAAGATCAGCAGTCTGAAACCACCATTCTGCGGCGAAAGATGAGAGGCTTTCTCCTCCCATAAAGAGTTTCAGAAACCCATAGGCACAGTTCTACCCTATCCTTAAGGGTCCTTATGAATCGGCATTGACCCAAGGAGAGTGAGTCTAATAAGGCTCCAGGAATGAGCCCTGGCAGCCCAGTGGTGATGGGTTGAGCTGTGAACTGAAGTTCAGCAGTTTGAAGCCACCATTAGTTCCTTGGGCGAGAGACAGGGTTTTCTACTCCCGTAAGAAGTTTCAGTCTTGGAACTCACAGGGGTTTTTCTATCCTGTACTAGAGGGTCACAGTGAGTCTTCTCTGTGACTGTGAATTTGGATATAAAACCTTACCCCTTACCCGCCCCCCCCTCCCCCCCCCAGTACATACACAAACTTTCAGCCAGTACATACATACATTTGAACAAATAATTCTTGGTGGATTGACTATAACCTTCAATAGCAAAAATTGCATATCAGTTTTCTTCCTTTCCCAGAGACCCAGAATTTGTTTGCATTCTTCACTTTAATAGGGGTAAATAGAAGTTGAAATGATTTATCCAAAGCAAGCAATCATAAACCCTTATTTGCATGGTAAGCATTAGAAAGGAGACAAAACCTTTGTACCTTTTTGGTTAGATGTTAGCACCTTTGCATCATTCACAAAACCAACTGGTGATCTGCTGTCCTGCTGACACCTCTACCTCTGATACAGACAGCACTAGTCACAGGTGACCAGGCCACGATTCCACTGTGAATTAATGCCATATGTATAAGAAGCTCAGTCCGCTGCCGGAGCCCTGATGATGCAGTGATCTAGTGCTGACTGAAAGGGTTGCTGTGTGGGAGAAGGATGAGGCAGTCCGATTCTGTAAAGATTCGAGCCTTAGGAACCCTATGGGGCAATGGTAGTCTGTCATACAGGGTCACTGCGAGTCAGATCTTGAGGGCAATACTTTTTGTTTTTAATTTAAAAGGTGATAGAGAATTTTTCTTAAGCACTGCATGTACCATGATCTTAATTTTCCCCGTGTAGCTTTTCACAATTATTTTTAAAATATAGAAAAGATGATTATAATTTGGATATTTTAAGTAATAGGGTTTGTCTTGGAAGTTGATCACCAGGGATTTTCCCCTAGTTTGTCTTAGTCAGGAAGCTACTGAGACATGTCCACTTTCAGTGACCTTACTGGTATTGAACTGCTAGGGGCATAGCTTCCAATACCAAGCAACACACAAGCCACAGGAAACACATAGAGCTGGTGAAATGATTAGGTCAGTAAAATGGAACCCTGATCATAACTAACCCTAGGATAAATCAATATTTTCAAGACGTTTTAAGTTGGATGAAAATTAAAGCCCTCTCAACCCGTGCCCCTGTGCCCACAAGCACGTGTCTTTGTTCCTTGGGTAGGCAGAGGAGTACAAACTTTACCTCCTCCTCTACCCTGACTTCTCACTTAGTAGAAGCGAACCTTTGCCGCTGATCAACTCATCTTAACTGAGCATCTCTTTTGCACTGCCCGTGCTCTTGCAGTGTATTTATATTCTGTCTCTGTATGTTTTAAAGTAGGTAAAATTCCGAACAAAGAATGCTGAAGCAGAACACAAGGGCCTTGGTTTTTTTTTCTTTCATTTCCACAAGGAGCTTGCGTTCTTCCTTGAAATCCATGCTAGTTTTGGACAGCTCGTAGAAAGCATGTCTGTCTGTGCCTGGCTGCCTATCCATCCATCTGTCCGTCCATCCGTCTGTCCATTCATCCATCTGTCCACCCAGTAGTACTAAAATTTGCCTAGTAGCCTGATGTTTTTTTAAACAAATTATTTATCCTTGTGTTTATACCCCTTAGGGATTTACCTTGAATCCTTTGCTACTTGTCAACTGTATTCTGAATAAATAGGGCCTGCCAGTAAAAGCAATCGTTCCTGAGTGCTTCATGTGGCCATCCAAATTTTAACAGGATTTTTAACAAGAATTGTTTTCTTCTGGGAATAGAAATACACACAGTTCTTTCTGGTTAGATTCTGTGGGAGATTTTAGTAATAGCTATCTGCCAAATCTGCTGTATTTTTTTTTCTGGCGGGGGTGGGGAACCTCCCCTCCCACCCCCCACAACAACCTTTCCTTGGAGTGGTCTGCACGCTGGACAGACTTTAGTAAACATGCTCTAAAGTTGTGAAGCAAGTTCCTTGCTTGTACAGAGGTCTCTGATGAATTAGCTTCTTTTTCTTCTAAAACAATCAAATGTTTAGGTTTTACATCTCATGTTTTAATGCCTAGATTCATCATTTCTGTCTTTGGTATATTAGTATTGTGAGTCAAATATTTTTTTAAATTTGCAGATTTAAGATAGGCTGTGCAAACCAATTTTAGGACTCCCTGGCTAATACAGATAATCAATGCACTGGCCTGCGAACCGAACAGTGAGAAGTTTAAGTTACCAAGTGCATTGGAAGAAAACCTGGCACTCCACATCTCGGAAACCAGCTGTTGAATGCCCCGTTGAGCACCTCTCTGTTCTGACACCGCTGGCATGCCATGAGCTGGAGTTGACTCAGTGACCATTTACTAAGCCCACTTTTGAGATTAAGCCTTCCTCTTATTACTACTATTTTACACTGCACCAGAAATTACATTTCAACTATAGAATTCATTATTTTGATCTTGCTGTGGTACTTACATACTCTATTGTCAATTTGAGATTTAAGAGTGACAGGGTGGAGTTTAGCCTGTCAATCAGGTCGCAGCTTGATGACCTCATTTGGAGGTGCTAAGGAAATAAATAGCTCCCTGGAGCTGGGACACATACTCACTCCCTGGGAGACATTGCAGCTGACAACACACATGGAGCTATGCTAGTGCTCTGAGCTGGAGGAACTACGTAGAGACCCCTGCCAGCACTGAGATGCTTATCCCACCACTGGATCCATAATACTTTCCACCCACTGACCTGTGATCTTCCTGCATTTGGCATCATTGCATGTGTTGTGTGAGTCTGAAGAGGTATTTATAGATTGGTATTGGACATATAGGCTAATATCGGACTTATAGACTTGATGTGGACTGGGTTGGGATGTTTTCTCAATATTCAATTGTTCTTGTATATAATGCTCTTTCTTTTTTAAAAAATCATTTTATTGGGGGCTCATACAACTCTTATCACAATCCAAACATCCATCCATTTGTATATTTGTTGCCATTATCATTCTCAAACCATTTTCTTTCTAGTTGAGCCCTTGGTATCAAAAGCTCTTTCTTACACACATATGACTGTCTGTGAATTTGTGTCTGTAGTCTACCCGGACGAACACACTTGCCGACACTGAAGTTTATGATCTCTTGTTGGATTTTTGTATGTTTGTAGGTGCTGTGATACTCTTGGGAAGGACGAATATGTTTCGTTTTAACCATCCCAAGGAAGCAGCCACGCTCAGGGAGAAGAGGAAGGTGAGCCGTGTGGGTGCAGGGCTTCGAAGTGAGCACAGGTGGGTGGTGGTGTGGGCAATGGCAGGGGTTGCCCTCCCCTGTTTCCAGTCGTCTGGTCTTGGGGAGCTCGGGACCACTTGAAACCAGGTCTGTAAACTGCACGGATTCCAGAGGTTTTGCTTCCTGCCACACGAAGTCGGAAGAACGGTGAGGGAAAGTTGAGAGCAGGCAAGGAACAAATGTTTACTAGTCCTTCCTCACAAATGGCCCCCAAGGGAGCTGGGGCTCCTTTTATGTTAACTGGAGTAGAATATCAGTATCAATTTTAAGAATTAACCCAATGTTACAATTATTTTCATTAAAAAGATTTAATTTTTATTTTCAGCCATAGTAAATTTGATTTTTCATTGGAGTAAAAAGCAGAGAAAGAGTGAATTTAGGACATTTGGAAGAGATTGTAGGCTTGGCCCGATGGGGACATGTAGAGGGCACTTTATTTATTTTTTGTTTTGTTTTGTTGTTTTTTTTGTTTTTTTAGGCTTTATTCTCCTAGCTTATGATAGGGAAATACCTTCCTCAGGCTGAATGTTTTTTTTAAAACATTTTATTAGGGGCTCATACAACTGTTATCCCAATCTATACACACATCAATTGTGTAAAGCGCATTTGTACATCGTTTCTCAAAACATTTTCTCTCCATTTAAACCCCCGACATTAGGTCCGTAGAGGGTACTTTAAAGGGCACTGTTGGATGGAGTTGGTGGCTTAAGGACCAGAGCGAGAAGGAAAGGGATGGGAGGGAGAGCACTTCGTCTAGTGCCTTTGTGTGTGGAGACGAGGCTAATGAAGATGAGCGACACTCAGCCAGCATTCCTGAGCCAGGCACTTGGTCAACTTCTGTCTATAATTGCTCACTTTCTGTGGGCAGCAATGTTTATTCCATGCTACAGGCATCTGAGATAAGAAATTAAGAAAGATAAACTTTCTAACTTATACTCGGTAGTCAGCTCGGGCCAACATTTATCCCTACCAGAGAATTTACCCCGCTTCCTCAAGCCCCATTGTACTCAGGGATGTTTGTGGCCTCCCCTGCCTTTGATGGGGAGCGGTGAGAAGGCTACAAAGCCCAGCCTTTTTCAGACTGTTAAGCTTCTCCCTTATCTTTTCCAGCTTAATTTCTCGCTGGAGTGTTCTTTTTGCTACCTACTTGCCAAGGGGGTGGAGAGGGAAAATAAGTTGGTCAATAATTTTGCATGGGAGAAAAATCGGACTGGTTCTTACTTGTTTCCCTTGACCTCCTTCCCCCTTCACCTTTATCCCTCAAGATCCCTCCAGGGTCATCTGCCTGTTAGGAACCTTGCAAGACTAGATACCATTCCCCGTTTGCTATAGTAGTGCAGCCTGGGGCCGGACGCCAGCACGGTCTGGGTCAACCTCTCCAACCTTAGAATACCAGCGTCCTGCTGAACTGAGTGTAAGAGTTGAGAAGTGTCCCTATCCTCCTCACTGCCCCTGACTTGTCAATACATTATTCTATGTGTATGTGTGTGCTAATTAGGAGTCCTTGCCCTCATGCAGTTCAAAGCACTAAGTCAAGAACACTGACACTCTCTCAAACATGAAAGTAATGGCTCTGCCCTGTGCTCTCCTCTTAGAGTGGCCTCCTGTCCTCCTTCAGCCTGTCCATGACTGACCTCTCCAAGTCCCGTGAGAATCTCTCCGCTGTCATGTTGTATAACCCAGGGTAAGTGAGCGGCAGTATTTCTGATATAGTGTTTCTTGTGCTAACTACATGATAATCACTCAATAAAAAGGACCTGTAATTGTGCCTCCATATCCGGTCAGCCATAGTTGTTTTATAAGCTCATTTCCCGGCTTTGCTATATAGGTACATAATTTTACTTGGTGGTTTATAGTCACAACATGAAGAGGATATGTATTCTGATGTTTTTCTTGAACATCATAAGCATTAATATGGGTTGTCACAAGCTTCATGATCATTTTCATAACTGTCTGTTATTTAGAGTTGTCACTTTATCATTGCTCTCTCTCTTTAGCGTATGCACTTTTATCTCATTTTATAAAGTACTTGCAGTAGTAGGAGCGGCAGCTTTTTCATTCTTGTATCATGTAGTCCGGGGAATTATGTTCACTTTTTCCAAACACTAGGGGACTACTGAGAGCCCAGACAGTCATTTATTTAAAATGGACTTAATGGCTGAGTGACCATGGGTGGTCAGCTTAAATCCTCAGGTCCCTGGTGACTTCCTTATTAAAATGACAGTGATAATGAAAATATCTGAAAGCAGGGAACTGGATGAGTGGACTTTCAGGGCCCTTTCTAGTTTTGTGAAATTCCTTAATTTATCGTTTTTACTGGCAGGATCTGATATAAAATAATAGAGGTCAATTTAATAGCCAAATAATTGGAATGAACCTTATAAAACAACATCACCTTGTAGAACTGTCATTTATTTAGTAGCTTCTGCATACCAGGCACTTTGCTGAATAGCTTCCATTAGTAATTGTCATGACAACGTTACCCCCACTTACATACTTAGAGCTATAATGTGAGTCCAGGTGCCCTCAAAAACCTGTGCTCTAGCTATGTTCTAACATCCTCCAAGTCCGAGCCTAACCTCTATGCAGGTGTCCCCCAAGTCAGTATTGCTACTAACCCTGAGCAAAATTCAGTCCTTTAGCTTTGGTTTGTGGAAAGCAAATGCATTCTCTTATCCCCATTTATTTCCTTGTCCAGTCATGTCCCTGTCCCTATCACTTGTGCTAGGCTATTCCCAGTACCTTCACATGACCCTTCTGTTTTCCACTTGACAGAACCCTCGCCCTAAAGCCCCCTGCCTGTCACCAACAGTACAGTTTAATTTCATCAGCTCTTCTCCATTCCTTCTATATTGTCCAAATTTTGCATGCATATGATTGAACAAATTATGCCTTGGGTCAAGTACACCTAAGTCATGAATGTGCCATATTTGCCTTTTAAAGCTTCAAAGCAATATTTTGCTGCAGATTTGCCCCCAAATAATACTTTAACTTCTTAAATGCTGCTTTCATAGACATTGATTATTGATGCAAGTAGAATAAAGTATTTGGCAATTTAATTGTTTTTACTATGGTCTTGTGTGTCAGCACAATTCTGAAGATTCTAGATATGAGCTAATTCTGACTAGTGTTCTCCTCTACGTACCATATCAGTGTGCTATCCACCACCACGCCTCGTAACACACCGGGGAGAGCTCCTTGTGTTCACTGTCCCTTACTGAGTGTGCTTGTCTGGGGACTTTAGAGAAACAATCCACAGAAACTCATGTATAAGAGTCTTATATAAAGGTTAAATGCACATTAAGAAAACATCCCAACCCAGTCCTGCCCAAACCCACAAGTCCAACATTAACCCATATGTCTGACACCAATCCACAAAGTTGTCCTCCATCTCACAAAACAGACACAATGATGCTGACTGCAGGAGGAAAGCTGAATCAATGAATGTGTAAGCATCTAGTGCTGGCAGGGGTCACCACATGCACCCAGGGCTGCATCGGGGTAGGTCCATGTGGCTTCTCCTTGGGGATGTCTTGCAGGAAGTGAGCCTTGCCGACTAAAGCAGGGAACTGTCTAAGGCAGCTGCACCCTGGTCCGACCATCAGAAAGCAAGAGACCCAAGAACTAGAAAGGCGAGGCTCACTGAGCCATTTATCTCTCCGCCCTTCAATTAACCCCACATGTGTTTATCGGCCAGGTTGGCACAATAAGCTAACTACCTCACAGAGTAAAAGCCCCATAGTAGCAGAGGCCCCATCTATCTTGGTGACCATTATATGACCCATGCTTGGCACAATGTCTGGCAGTAAGTTGGTACTCTACGCAAATAATCATATTAGAGATGAAAAATCAATACTCATATCTCTGAACTTGCAAAGAGCATTTGTTGTGTGGTATTGTCAGAGCAATGCATACTGGAGATCACAATGAACTGTTGTTTGCAGAAATTGAAAATTGAGAGTAAACATTTCATTATAAAAATTGTCTGGTTTTAAAAATATTTATCCAGTGACTCTTTTATATATTGTACATAATAGTTAAGTAAAAAAATTATTACTCCAAAATATACTATTAAATGAAAGTATCAAAATAAGAAACTATTATTTCTTGGCATATCCTCCATCTAGGTCTGTACCGTTCTGAAAGCTCTTTCTTCCCTTTAGAATTCTTTTCTTTAATTTACACCACATCAAAATGGCAGTCTGGGCATCGTCAAGAGACTCCGATCGTGTTCCTTTAAGTGTTTTTTGGGTGTGGAGAACAGAAATAAGCCTTAGTGGCAAAATCAGGACCGTGTGGTGGATGGTGTAAAGATTCCCAGTGTATTCGCATAGGAGAGCGCTGGCAGAGGCCTTGTCAGGATGGGAAAGGAAAACAAACTTCTTTGCTATGACTTTCCTGGCCGTTTTCTCACCCGGGCGGTTCTCAGTTTTCTTCTTACTGGTCATCTTTCGTGATCACTGGGTGTCCTTTGAGAAAATCTGTCAAGATTCCACCTGGGGAATACCCTCAAACAGTCACCATGACCTTTGGCACTGACCTCTGTGCCTTCAATTTAACGGGCTCGACAGATCCCTTCTATTTTCATTGAGCTTTATTGTTCAAGGTTCTCTAATGAGTCAAAGACAGGTGTGTTGAGATAACTTGTGTTTAGCCATCCACAGATCACAGTTTGAAGACCTTTTGTTTGAAATAAAACTGTGCATAAAGGCACTAGAATCCTAGTAGCAAGGCTTTTTCACTTCTCCTTGTATGTCTTCAGAAAGAGCAAGCTTACACTGATGGTTTAAAACATCCACTATGAAACCTTCCCACCATACTATTGTTTAAAGCATGATCATATATTAACTTTAATGAAACCCTATATTAACTCCGAAGCCCTTGTTGATGAAGTTTGACGACTATAGCTTTCGGAATGGATTACAAGTGAATGAAAAGGAAACAAATATCTTCACAACTGGACCAGTAAACATCATGATAAATAGAGAGGACTTCATTCCGCTTGGATCTTCAGGCAGCACCCATGGAAGCAGCAGTCACGAAATCAAAAGCTGTATTGCATTGGACACATCTGTACTGGGCCTCTTTACAGTGATAAAGAGCAAGGGTGTCACTCTGAAGACCAAGGTTACCCAAGCCATGGTATTTTCTGTTACCTCCTCTGCATGTATAAACTGTAAAATGAATAAGGAAAACTGGAGAATCCATGCATTTGAATTATGGTGTTAACAAAGAGCATTGACTTTCCTGCTAGGAGAATAAACAAGTCTTGTTTGGAGGAAGTTCAAGGAGAATGCTTCGTAGACACTAGATTGGTGGGACATCCCCTCATGTACTTAAGACATGCTATCAGGAGGGAAAAGGACATCCCTGAAAAAGACATCATGCATAAAGTCAACGAAAAAGAGGACAATCTTCAAGGACATGAAGCGACACAGTGGCTAGCACAAGGCCCTCTACCTGTGAGGACGGCACAAGACCACACCTCATTTCATTCTGTTGCATAGAGGGTCGCTATGAGTTGGAACCAACTTGAGGGAAGCTAAGAGTAACAACAATATCCTTGCTTTAAGGAACCTTGTTGGTGATGTAGGGTGTACATTGTTCAACTAACCTCTAGGTTGGCATTTCAAACTCAGCAGGGTTTTGCTAGAAAAAGATGAGGCTGCCTGCTCCTGTGAAGATTTATGTCTCAGAAACTATATAGGTTCGTTGTGAGTCAGAATTGACTTGAAGGTAGTGGGTTTTAAATTCTCTTGTTTTTTAATTTTATAAGACAAATGGTGTTAGCTGAGACGTTGAATATACTTCCAGGAGAATAAACAGTCTTGTGTTGGAGGACGCTCAGCCTCCAGACATTTGTGGTGTAATGTTTAAAACATCTTGGTTGCTAACCAAAAATCAGAAGTTCAAACCCACCAGCCCCACTCCACATCAAAAGATGGCAGCCTGCTACCATGAAGATTTCAAGTCTTAGAAATCATATGAGACATTTCTACTTTATCCCATAGGGTAATTATAAATGGAAATAGACTCAATGGCAGTACGTTTGACACACCTAATGTGAGAGTCCTTGGGGGGTGTCAATGATTAGCCTGCTTCATGGTTCACTAATAGGTTGGAGGTTTGAGTTCACGCAGTGATGCCCTGGAGAAAAGGCCTGGAGATGGCTTCCAAAAGAGTGCCCTGGGGACTTTGTGGTGAATAATGCTACTCTGACCAGTGGCTAGTTGCCAGGAGTGGGAATTGACTTGATGACAACTTGAAAAACAACAACAACACTTGTTTTATGGAATAAATGTATGGGCTGGGCTCTGTGACTGGCAGATGCCTTTCATAGGTACATGTAGGATGGAGTTTTCATGGGTGGCAATGCCTAAATAAGCTATAGATTATTTTCATGTGATAATAGGATAAACAAGTTTCAATGAAGGACTTACTCTAGTTACTATAGATCACAGACTGGATTATTGTTTCAAAAATGAATTAATAAAGAGCATTTTGGAAGCTAATTGTATTGGATTCAAATCATAGCTCTATAAGGTATGTCCATTATGACACTGAGCAAGTTGTTTAATATATCCAACTTTGAGTTGGAACCAATATGTTTATAATATAGACATATAATTTGCTATTAACAGTTTACTCGAGAACAAAGGATGGTAAAATATGAAATTACCTCACAGTATGTGCCACATAATACTCCATTCTGCTGGCAAAAACCACCAAACATCTGACTCTCAGTATTAACCCAAACTAAATTGTAAATAATCTGCTTAAAATATTGGCCCATTGAAAGTAATTCTTTTACCCATTTGGATTTGCACATTATCCAAAAGAGAAAGTTTGTAGTGCATAGTTCCATAGTTTGGCTTTGTAGCTGAATCTACCATAATGTGAAGAAGTATAAGTTCAAGAGTGCTATTCAATGGGAAGAATGAAAATTTTTAGTAGTTAAATATAATATTTGAGACGATAACAACTTGTGTTATCAATATTTTAAAATTTTCAGTGACCTAACTCCATGGTGGTAAGTCTGTTCACTCTCTCTATAGCTTCCAAGAAATCCAGAATGGATGCAGAATAACTAAATTAGTAAAAATATAAGTTTGGTTACTACTCAGTTATTATTAGTACTCAATTATTGTCAATATCATGATTATGTTTACTGCAAGAATATAACAAAGCTGACCTTTGGGAGTTTTTTCTTCAGAAATTATTGGGAAAGGTGATACTTATTTTTAAAAATGTTTTAGTTTGTGAATGGCTGTTTACTTTTAAGTACCTTATTACTTTTCTGTGACGTTTCCCCTGTTACTTTTTCTTTTAATTGATGTCTGTACTCTCTCTCTGTCCCTGGCAGTCTTTTCCCTATAAAAGGACCCATCTGTCTAAGGTAGAGATTCTACATTTCTATATACTTACCAATTAATGGCTAAGCTGCCAGGAGTAGACATGCTTGTCATTTAGAAATCTCTTCTAACTGTACCTTTCCAATACAAGGAGGGTTTGTTGTTTTTCATTAAGTACAATATTTTCTTTTCTGTCTGAACTCAAGTACTTAAAAGTATACCTGATGTCTAATGTAGTCATAGAGGAATGAATGCATCTTAAAGCTAGCTAATCTATGATAATTAAAATAATGCTTGGAAAGCAGATGCTCTCTGTAATATATGCAACAGAGCAAGAAGCCCTGGTTGGTGGTGTAGTGCTTATGCACTGGGCTGCTATCTACATGGTCTGTAGTTCAAAGCCACCAGTCGCTCCGTGGGTTAATGATGTGGCTTTCTGTTCCTGAAAAGAATTATGGTTTTGGAAACCCACAGGGGGCATTTCTACCCTGTCCTGTATGGTCACCATGAGTCTAATTCGACTCAATGATAGTGAGGGTTTTTTTTTTTTAATGTACGGAGTATACATGAGACTGAGAGAGAGAGAATCTTTAAGAATGTGACTCATTTTCATCTTATTTTATTAGACTGGAATTTGAGAGGCAACAACGTGAAGAACTTGAAAAATTAGAAAGTAAAAGGTAAGCAATGGGGGATAGGAGTCTTGTGCCTGTGTCCTAAATGGATTTCATCTGTTTCAATACTCTCCTTTGTGTCTGTTAGCTACATGTTGATTTTCTTGACTTTGATATTTGATCCTATTGAGTTGAGGACGGCATGAATGTTTTCCTCTAAATTTTATTTATTTTGTTGTTATTGAGAATATGTATGGCAAGCAATCCACCAATTTGGTAGTTTTTACATGTGCAGGCAGTTTTTCCCCATTAAGAGAGTCTTACTACCCCTAAGCTTTCTATCTAATCTTTCGAGTTGCTTGTTGTCATTTTGATCTCATGTAGTTAAATGCCTCTTAAAAGATTATATTTTCCAAGATTTTCTTTTCTTTTTAATTTAACTAAACTATTGTTCAGTCTTAAAATGAATTCAGGGGTATTTTTGGTTGAAGGCTTAAAGATTGTCTCAGGGCAATAGTTTCAGGGGAACATAAGCATTTTTATTTAATGTCATTTTATAATAGAACTGAGTTTTAGTGATTGGGTTGAATAATAATTTTCACATTTAAATTTAAATAGAGCATGGTTCTTTCTCTTTAATCTCTGGGGGCTTTTAAAATTATATATAACACATTATGGTTTTAGGCTCGACAGAAAAATGCTATCAGGCTGTTTCAGGAGACTAGGTAAATGCGATGTTAGATAGTGAAAGAATGACCAAAAAGTAACATGCCGCAGGAAACTAGAAGGAAAGCAATGCTGCCTCTTTTTTCTTTTTTTAATGAAGGATTTGTGGCATCTTCTTTTTTTCAGAGCATTTTACTTAAGGGAAAATTAGAGCAACATTCGAACTTAGCGATCAACTAATGATATTTTGCATTTTAGGAAACTCATAGAAGAAATGGAAGAGAAGCAAAAATCCGATAAGGCTGAATTGGAGCGGATGCAGCAGGAAGTGGAGTCTCAGCGCAAGGAGACCGAAATTGTACAGCGCCAGATCCGCAAGCAGGAGGAGAGCCTTAAACGCCGGAGTTTCCATATTGAGAGCAAGCTGAAGGGTTTGCTCTTCGAGAAGGAAAGGTTTGAAGAGGAGAGGATGAGCGAGCAGCAGGCAGGCGAGTTGCAGAAGAACAGCCCAGAGGAGGAAAGCTTTCTTGGTGCCCAAGAGCTCCAGTGGCTCCACGAACTCAACAACAGTAAGAGTGCTGAGACGGTTCCGCTGTTTCCGGAACTGGACTGGCTCGCAAAGGAGAAAGATGAACAGTATGCCAACCTGAAACGGGAAAAGAGGGGACTCGAGGAGCCAGAGGAGCAACTCATGCGTGTGGCTCATCTTGATCTGCAGATCCTAGAGACGCAGAAGGTGCCCCTGCCCCTGCAGCGAGGAGAGGCCCAGCGTGTGGAGGAGGAGAGGAGAGACCTGGAGCACATCCGGGAGGCCTGCCTGCAGGCCAGGGAAGCACAGGTGGGAGGCAGCCATGAAGCGGAAGCACTAGAAAAAGCTCAACTGCATTTCTTAGAGTTGAAGAGGAGGCAACTAATCAAGCTGGCAAACTTGGAGAAGGACTGGGCTCATCAAAAAGACCTCCCGAAGAAAGAAGTTGAAGAAGAACATGGCATCCTAGAGCGTTTAAAGTGTGAAAATGCGGATGAGTTTAGGTTGTTGGGGACAAATTATGATAAACTAAAACACGTCGCTCAGGTGGATCAAGAGCCAGACAAAATAAAGCCAGTGGAGTACAGGTTGCAGTATAAAGAACGCCAGCTACAGTACCTCCTGCAAGACCCGCTGCCAGCCTTGTTGGAAGAGAAGCAGAGGGCCTTGGCAATCCTTGACAGAGGCCCTCTTGGCTTAGCCAACACTCTGTATCAGGTCGAAAAAGAGGTGGAAGAAAAGGACGAACAACTCGTGCATTGCCAAGCTAGTGCAAGTGAGCTGCAGAAGCGGCAAGCTACATTGGAATTCAATGCGAAGATCACAAGGCAGGAAGAGAGAGTGAAAAAAAAGGAAAAGGAGGTTCTGGAAGGCCCAGAGAAGCAGCACAGAGAGGCTTGGGGGCAGGCAATTGTCAAGCTGGAGAGGAGGCACGCAGCCTTGCAGAGCTCCTCCTCCTTGAACCTGGAGAGCGAAGAGCAGAAGCTGAAACGGTCTACACAGAACAGCAGCAGCAGTGTGCAGGCCGCACTCCGGGCCAGCTTGAATGCTGAGCGGGAAGCCCTGCAGAAGGATCGAGAGAGGTGAGCGGGAGAAGGGGAAGCCATGGGGTGTAGCAGGTGTCAAATGGCCACTAGGTTCCCATCCCTTGTGTCTGTCTTTTTTCTAAGTACTTCTGTGTAACCTATATATTCTCTGACTGACAAATGTTGATTTTTTACCAAATCAGAGATAAGTACCTCTAAACAGTCTTTGATTTTTCCTAAGTATCTTCCCTTTTTAATCCTTGGCCTAAAGTTGGAAAGAAAGGTGGTGGGGGGTTGGGGGGCGGGAAATCACATGCTTATGAAGCCTTTCTCCTTTACTCCCTTGACCCACCGCTTAGAATTCTGATACTAAGATTGATACAAAAGATTGAGAGGCCCTCACGCCTTGATTCTTTCCATCCTTTACCTTTCTCCCTCTTCCCCTCCCTATATCTTCCTGTCACCCACTCTCCTTCCCCTTTCTGCTTCTAAAGTCTCGCTTCTCTTGTCCTTCCTCCCTTACTTGTAACCTTGCTTTGTTCCTTCCTTTCCCATCCTTCCCTCTCCCTCACTCTCTCCCTTCCTCTGCCTTATCGTCCCTTCCTCTCCTCGTTCTCCCTTGATCTCTGCTCCCTTATCTGTTGCTCTTCCCCCTCCCCATTCCTGCCTCCCCAGTGGACTTTGCAGCTTCTCTGTGACCAGCAGAGGGTTCACAGGCTGCATACAGCATACTGATTTTATTACCTGGTGGAGAAGTAAAATAATAAAATAAAACACCCACCTCTACTGATTCATGGTTTTTAAGGGGAGGCCTCAGGATTCTATGTGCAAGCAAACAAGCAGTACTTTTCAGGGGATACAAAAGACCATGGAAATTCGAGCTTTGTGTTGATTTAGAATGCATGAGTATTTTGGGTGCTAAAATTTTACAATAGGCAAACTAAGGATAGTTTCATGCTAAGAAAAAGATATTTAGTTCTCTTTTTCACAAAGACCTATTCCTTGTCAGTATGCTTACCAGGCAGTAGGTTCTCAAAATGAAGAAATGTATGTGTTTGATGGCCCCTGTTCCGGTTACCCTGCAGATGTAACGCCAGGGTTCCCAGAAGGGCTAGCACCACTGGTGCCAAGCAGCACCAAGGTTCGGGTTCAAGAAGACCCCACCCTTTCTATCCTCAGGGAGCAGGTGTGTTTCCTCTTTGGGCGGTGTCGTTGCCTGTGTAAAAAGTGGGTGGATGAGATCAGGGGGAGGGGTATGCATTTTCCTTTATGCCCGACCCTTGCATCAGTTGAGATCTTCACTGAAGTGCTTTAAAGGACCTGGGCCCAGCCTGACATTTGAATAGCAACTTGGAATCAATTGTTTATGATTAAGCCATACTTACTGTCAGATATTGACGGTTTCAACCACCATCGCGCAAGAAACGGTCAGAGAAGCCGCCTTTTAAAATGGTGTGTGTATAGACTTGTGGTTCTGTGTTCACCGCCACTCACTTAGTCAAGAAAATAGCAAAATTCCAATGGAAGAAAACATGATAGTGCTGCTTCAGAGGTCAGCGGTTTAAGAAAATGATAGCAGGTATGTTATTTAAATGAAATTGCTGGGCAGAGCTTCAGACCTAGCAAATGGAAAGCTGTCGCGGGCACGTGCTCTCCGTGTGTACCCTGCAATGTGCAGAAGGGAGAAAGCCTTGCTTTCGTCTCCTATCCACAGACTCAGAAACCCGCACCGAGCGCGCTACTCCATCGTATAGGGTCACTACGAGTCAGAATCGATTCAAGGGCAGTCAGTTGGAGTTTTGTGTGTGTGTGTGTGTGTGTGTGTGTGTGTGTGTGTGTGTGTGCAGGAGATTGCCACATGAGCTTTTAGCTTGATGTCTCTGACTTTCGGCAGCCAGTTCCTCACCCGGAGTGTTTTTGATTAATACCCTGGAATAGGTGAAGCAGTAATGCAATCTCCATGGAAGTGATTTTCCAATGTCAGCATTCATACAGAAGCCCTGCAAAGGAGAGGCTCTTGGATTTATGGGTGTTGATGAAATACATTTTGCTGAGGCTGAATTCAGGCCAACAAATTTGTGATTGCTTTGCTGTCACTTTTGTGCTTCTGCAGCTTTCTCTGGTGGCCTGCTGGGTTTTATCTTTTTCCAGGGCTCTCATGGCTCTGTCAGGCCCACCTGACTCCACTATTTAGAAAATCCTACAAGGGTGAAATATTCAACTCAACTCTCGTGGGTCCAGACTGGATAGCAGTGCCCTCCACTTGTTTTCCCAATAGTCTTCTCTTAACTCTGTACACACTGAACAACAACAGCAACAAAAAACTCACTGGCATCGAGTCAGTCCTGATTCAACAACTCTATAGGACAAGAGAGAACTGTTCCTATGGGTTTCCGAGACTGTAACTCTTTATGGACATAGAAAACCCTGTCTTTGTCCCGCAGAGTGGCTAGGGGTTCCGAACTGCTGACCTTGTGGTTAGTAGCCCAATGGGTAACCACTACACCACCAGGCCTCCCTGGCTTTATAAAGGAGCTTAGATCTATTTGGCTGTCGTTCCCCACCATCTGCTCATTGTCACTGCCCACTGACCTGTGTTAGGCAGCTTCCCTGCGACTTGAAAAACCTGCCTGCTGTCTTAGCAGGACTTCCCTTCCCCTGAGTGAGGTCAGACAGGGCCAACCTTTAGTGTTATTGTAGTAAAAAACAAAATCAAACCCTCTTCTGTTGATTCCAACCCATAGCAACCCTATAGACAGAACAGAACTGTTTGATAGGGTTTTCAAGACTATAAACATGTACAGGAGCAGACAGCCTCATCTTTCTACCATGGAGCAACTCATGGGTTTAAACTGCTGACCTTTGATTTGCAGCCGAACACTTAATCCACTGTGTTGCCAGGGCTTATTAATAAAGTGTTTATATTATTAATATAAATGGAACTCTATACCTAGACTGAGTTAAATGCTGTAAGGGTAGCATCATTTACTCTTAGTTAGGAGAGTGTCAGCGACAACTTAGAGATGGGCAAACTGAAACTTGACACGCTTGTCTAAATCGCTGAAGACTATGTCATGTGGTTTAAAAGTGGAGAATAGCAACTTGTACCAAGGTCTGCTTAACACCAGCTCTTACCATTGTGGTCTCTTGTCTGTTAACCCACAGAGCTCTCCCACATGGATTTTTCATGGTGCTCTGATTGTTTTCTGAATTGTCAAGTTTTCCCCTTGCCACCAATATGAATCATGCACAGTCATCAGGGGCTCACTCAAACTCTTTTTGCACTGTGAAGTCTTTTCAGCAGCCCCAGTGGACATCATCTTAATTATAGACATGTAACTATCTATATGACTCTTTTTCCCCCTGCTGTCTCTGAGACCTTGTTAATATTGTTCCATCCTACCCTCCTACATGTCACTTTTGTATAGCCTCATATATCTTTTCTCAAACAAAGATGCCATGAATGCCAAGATATATTCAACAGTCACTTGTATTGAAGCAGGTCAGAGGACTTAGTGTCCTATGTATGCTTTGAACACGGTGGGAATGACTGGGTCCTTGATGGTAGAACTCGCTCTAACTCTTTTACGTCTACAGCATTTGTTCTGAACCTCTTTTGTGGCCTGTTATCCCTTTATATTTCACAATATGTATGGCATCTTTTCTAATAGAAAATAAAGCTCTGTGCATATAGGGCTTCTGCCTGCACTCCCCACCCCATGGTTTCTAGAGCAATGTTTAACATAGTGAATATGTTCAGGAAATATTTTTAACAAATGAATTCATGTGGCTCCCATTTCTGTAGGCTGGAACATGAGATTCAGGAATTGAAGCAAGAGATTTATGATACTGATGGCATTCAGAAATGGCCTGGTGGGACTTTGGAAAGAAGGAGGACTACTTCTGGCTTGCCCTCCAGTTATGAAAAGTCTCAGGCTCATCTGGGCCCCTTGATGGATGCCAGGTACTTGACATTCAGTGGATGCCATACCTATATTTGTAATATGATTTATCACTACTTTTTATACTGATCAGACTGCATGTGGGGAGAATCTACCAAAGGCAACAAGAAATATGTGTACCAGAAATATGCTTTAGCTTTCTAAACCAGAATCGAAAGGTCCAGAGAGATCACCGTAGCCAGGCAGGGGTGAGGCAAGGCCAGATTCAGAAGCACAAAATAGAGTTCATTGAATGTACTAACGGGAGGACCTGGTGCTGACCATTACTTTTATATGTCATTGATTACAGGTAATTCACTGTAAAACTGTACCAGTATATTCAGAGTGAACACGAATAGCATTAAACTATGAGAGGGCTTCAGAATTTTGTGGAAAATTTAATTATCTTTTAATTCCACTTTTTCCACAAGGTTGTTGAAGCCCCTGCATACATCTAATTTTACTACAGTAAAAAGGTTTTCTCCTTGAATGGCATTGTTAATTGTTCCAAAGCTTAAGGGTGTTCAGGTAAGCCAAGTAATCATTCTTTGCCTATAAGAAAATAATGATTATTTCCCTCAACTTCACCTAAGTGATGTGATCCTTTAAATTGGGTAGTCTTGAGCACTGGGTATTAGGAGATTGATGGTATCTGGGTATCAACCTGGAATAAGGATGGCAGGAAACTTCTGTGTCCCATTGAATCTAGGTCTGCATCTACCATTTGCTACTTTACAATTTAAGTAAAGGTCACAAATGGCTTTGGCCCAGGTTCGCTTGCACATGGTTTTATTTTTAGTACTAGAAGGCCAAACCTGTAAATAGACTTTCATGTAATATCTTACTTAAAATATCAATCCCTTTTCCTAACATTGTAGAAAGTCATTTTTACTCTGGTCTGTAGTACAAGTGTTTACACGGTAATGCATGTGATTATGAAGATGAAGCCAAATTATCTTTTAATAAGCTAAGATACTAACATAGAAAATAGTTCATTTAAAATCATTTAATTCGTGTCTGTAGGATTGGGGCCAAGAGGAACCTAGAACTGAGCAAGACTTCTAAGTGAACATACTGAGTCCTAGAAAGATTTTCATTGGAACGAAAATCCCCCGGGTGGAATGGCTTAAGGCTAAAAGAGGTGAACCAGGAACTGGGCTGGAAATCTACTGCAGTAGTGAAGGCTAAGCGTTGAATGCCATACACTTATATTCTCTCGGGTATCATGTGTGAGGAGGCTTCAAGAAAGTTTGTGGGTAAATGGAAGTTAAAAGATAAGGGACATTTTCCCACAAGCTTTTGAAGCTCCCTCTCATGTAGTTGACCCACCAGTCAGTCCCCACAGTGCGATCGAGTCCATTCTGACCCACAGTGACCCAGTGGGATAGGGTAGAACTACCCCTGTGGTTTCCAAGACTGTCACTTTACAGGAGAATAGGGAGCCTCATCTTTCTTCTGCAGAGCAGCTGGCAGTTTTGAACCGACGACATAGCACCTTAGCAGCACAGCTGGTAAGTAACCCACTGTGCCACCAGGGCTTCTCTATGCAGTCGACAGCTCTCTCCAAACCCAACTAATTCAGGCTTTTATTCTTCCCTGGCTTTCTCTGCCAGCCATTTTGGAATGTAAGCCCATTGTCCTTGAGTTGATTGATTCCAACACATAGTGACCAATAACGAAAATCAAACTCGTTCCCATTGAATCTATTCTTACTCATAGTGACCCAAGGGGAAAGAATGGAACTGCCCCTGTGAGTTTCTTTATGGAGAAGAAAGCCTCATCTTTCTCCTGAGGTACAGCTGGTGGTTTTGAACTGCTGACCGGTGGTTAGCAGCCCAATGTATAACCATAGGTTACAAAAACCAAACTCGTTGCCATTGAGTGGATTCTGATGCATAGCAACCCTATACAACCCTATAGAACTCCTCCTGTGGGTTGCCAGATTGAAAATCTTTATGGGTTTAGAAAGCCTCATCATTCTCCTGAGAAGTGGTTGGTGGGTTTGTAATGATGACCTTGTGGCGAGTGGCCCAACTTATAATACACTATGCCACCAGAGGTCTAAATGTGATCTCTGCTGATTAGTTCAGACAGCCCCTTTGAAGAAGAATGCAACTCATTGTTTGATCTCAATAATAATGAGAATGTATAGAGAGTATACCCACCTTTATCTTCACAAATGTATTTATGCTTTGAAAAATACTGCTGTTTTTGTTTGGCTTGGCAAGCAAAAGGTTTGACGAGTGAACTATCTACCTAAACCATGAAGCTTTGTAGAGCCATGTCTGTGATGTTTCCCTATTCTGGTACGAGGGTTCTACTAATAATAACTAGGAAAAAAATGGAAAAGATTATTGGGTCTCTTTTCCATTCCCAAGATTCTTTTATCGATCAGAATCTTTCTGGTTTGGAGATAGTGAGCACCGGGCATTATGTTCTTAGGCGAAAAACATTCAGGGCCCTCAAGTGGTTTCAGGGTTTGGCCTTTTAAATGAGAAAGTCTGCTGTTCCGAAAGCATGCTAACAAAAGGAGCTCTAAATGTCCCATGTGGTTAAACGTGTTCAAAGGCCCCATCTCCATTGTTTCAAGGATCAGTGCTTACATTGAAGAAGAAGTCCAAAGACGACTTCAGGATTTACATCGTGTGATTGGTGATGATGGCAGTACATCGGCGGAAGGCATAAAGGTGAACTGCAGGCGCACAGGCGTGTGGCCATTCCTACGTAGGATGACCTTTGAAATAAGTTAGCAGTGGTGCTAGTGAGGGCTTATTACTGATTCTCAGAAAGTTCAGATGTTATACTGAAATATAGAATATTCTAGAAAAATAAATGCTGCTTAGGTGGAATTTAACAGTTTGTAAATAGTATTAACCAAAGAATAACTATTTTAAAATTTTGTACTTTTTGAGAAATTACTAAGTAAATGTAAATCTCTTAAAATGCTATTTTTCCCTGTTTTGTTTTTACAAATACCTATCTATATTTTCCTGTTTATTCTAAAACACATGTTCCCATTTCCATAAAGCATTAATTTGTTTTGTGAATTTCTCACAGTGAGAATATACATTTTACCTTTGTGTAGATGTGTATTTCTGATAAGTTGATTTTTATCAACAAAAATATTTCTGTCTTAAGAAAATCTAGCTTAAAATACACATATTTAGAATTTTAATATTAGAAATAAGTGGTTCAATTTGCCTCCAAGCAGAATACTAGGGTCATGATATAGGGAATATAAATTCTCTAGAAGGGTGTCATTGCTGAATGGCAAGTATGTTTCTTTATAATTGTTGTTTCTATAAATATTTCTAATCAAATATAATTTCCTCTCTATGTAAAAATACTATAATATAACATGGGCAATTTTCATTTTCTTTTCAGGATAGCGAGAAACTTCACAATGGCACCATTCAACGGAAACTAAAATATGAGGTGGGTAATGATTTTTCAAATTGATAAGGTTGTCTTAAATTATAGCATACTTGTGTGATTAAATTTTCTTAATGTTTAGTTACATAATTAGAATTTGGAAGTCCCAGTGATTTAATGGCTAGTAGGAAAGGTGAGCTATTATATAGGCTTGAAATTAAATATAGTCCTGCAGGTTGAAAAGAACTTTGCCTTTATTTCAATGGCACGTAGCTAAGGTGGAGGCACTTTGCCCAGTATTTTTTTTGTAACATTATCCTTTCCCTGGATCTGTATTTAAAAAGCAGAAGTATATAATCAGAATCAGCTACAGCATTTGGAAATGAAACTGCCTGCTTCTCTTTGTTTGAAAAACTCTGTTTTTACAAAAGGAAATAATCTCAATTGAGTTATTTCTACAGTGGATTGTCAAATTAAAGCTTATTTGGGTAAAATGAATGGCAAGGTATTTACTTGTATTTCCTCTTGCCGAGGGGTGATATCTTTCCCATACATTCCTAAATTTAAAATAAATAAAAAATCTGATGGATTTGAATATTCATATGGTAGAAAATATAGACAATAAAAATCTTAATAGGTGTGTCCATGCAATAGTGAACAGAAAGCAAGAGTGCGGGGTATTCCACAGGCCACTCCTCTTCGTGCGAATCATTCAGTAACAATGTTGTATTGCATTCATCTTCTCTATTAGAAGGCAGACCACCTTACAACAGGCAGGACAGTCCCTTTCATTTGTGTCTGTTCCTAAGGCCGGCCACATAGCACGTACACAGTCAGTCTTTCATAGTTACAGTTTCTAGAGAAGGATGATGGGTATCTAACCAGGACTGAAATAAGGATGCCCATGAAACAACTCAAAAGGAGGAAAACATGGTGTGGCTTGGAATAGAACTTATTCTTCTTTATTGACTATCTTGTTACCTAACATTTCACATTCAGGACAATAGTACAGCATCCATTATCTGATTATTTTGCATATGAACAGCATACATCTGGCAGTAACAGCCAAAGAGTAAAGCAAGAATAATCTCTACTTTAATGGTTAAGGTTATGTGTCACCTTGGTTGGGCCAGGATTCTCAGTAACTTGGTAGTTATGTTAACTATATAATTTGGCAGCTATGTAACGATGTGATATGATGTCATTGTCCTCCATTTTCACATAACATAATTTGTGCTTAAAACAAGTTTGTCTTTGGCTCCTAAGTATGCCAATAAGTGAGGAGAGAGTATACTTCTGGATTTCTTTTGACCTTGCTATTTGATTTTCTTTTCTTAAATATTCCCTGATTTACTTTTTATCTATGGGTATATACTTATTGCCACAATTACGTTTGATCTTTAGAGGTCTTAGCATTTAAGAAAATAACATCTTAGACCAAGAAATGAATATGGTGGTGCAATACCATGCAGTCTCTAACTGCCAAAATATTCACCAATTTATGAAGTATCTAATATGGAAATTGATCTTCTATATGTGAATTAAATTACCTATCCTAAGTTCTATTATTTGTATATAAGTCAACACAAATGGCTTAGACTTTTGATTTAACCTCTGAATAGGCCCACAAAATGAAATGAATGGTGGCAGGGTGACAAACGGTGATCCCACACGCCCATTTTGACATGTTGGGGAGGAAAAGGTAGCCTTGGCTGGCACTGTATCATGTACCTCTTCTGCCCAAATATGCTACTCATCACTAGAGGGGAAAGAAGAGAGCTGATCAGAGCACTTACTGCAGTCATAAGATTCTTTTCTGCATATCAAGAGGGAACCCACTAGCCAAAAAATCAGTCTTTGAGATGATGTATTACAGGATAGTAATTGCAAATATAGCCGTCCAAAGAATATTGGCTGTTATAACCAAAATGTTGTAAGCTACCTAAAATCTTTTTTAGTTTTTTTAAATAAAGACAGCAACACTGGCGATTCAGAATATTTTCAGGGTAATTCAGAAATGTTCCATAAGCTGATGACACCGAGGAGGTGAACAGCTACACCTTGTTGTAGCTTACTACCCAAGAACTGTCAATAAGTAATGGAGATACAAATACCAGGTGAAACAAAATGCTTTGTTCGTTGTCTCTGTCAGTCTTTCTGCAAAGGAGAAAGTATGCAATGTCCCTCTGATAGTAATCCTCTGAGGACTTCAATTGGGGCATCTGACAGTAAACGGCAAGCTGAGAGACAGCTGCTAAAAAAAGTTAACTTTCCAGAGCAACTTGTAAGCCTCAGGACAAAAGTTATCAATGAATTTGAGGTTTTTGCTTTAAATAGTTGTGTTGGCATATGCTTCACATGTTATACGATTTAATCATTGGATCATAATAAGATATATGCAGTCATTACCTACAATCATCGCTACAATCAGTTTCAGAACATTTTATTCTGATACTCATTTTTGTTAGCTTTCCTTTCTTCCCCATCCTCCTCTACCATGCTCCCGGGCAATTTTCAATCCAGTTATTGTCTCTATAGATCTGCCTATCCTGGATTTCATATGCAGAAAATCATCCAAAACACAGACAAGAAGCCAACAAAAAACCAAGCAACCAAATCCAAGACAACAACTAGACAAAACATAGAAAAGCATCAATTGAAAAGAAAGCAGAACATTTTAAAACTGAAACAACATCATTTTTTTTGGCTTGCTTATTTGTTTTGTAACACACGTTCTCGGATCTTTATAAAGATAGTAGCCTTCACCTGCTACAGGTTGGCACAAGGTGTTCAGTGAAGCCAGGCATGTGGACAGCTTCTGCAACCCAAATGGGCTGCCCTCCCAGGTAACAACCTTAGTCAGAAACACTCACCCCTTGACATGCCCTGGATGTCACACCTGGCATCATCAGACTCTCATTCTTTTCCTGAAGCTCAGGTCAGCAGCAGTCACTGTGAAAAGCAGGGGACCTGATGCTAGCAGGGAGCACCATGCTCTACACAATACCTGCCATCACAGCTGCTGGTTTTCCAGATTCCCGGCCAAGCTCAGTATCTGGGCTTGCTATGAAGACTCTAGAAATAACTCTGCCTTTAAGTAGACCGTTGTGGTATTTCCAGACCAAGTGATTAAGCTCCATGGGTGCCTTTTAAAAGACTTTCTTAAACATGTGCCTTGTTCTCTGCCAGAACCTTTAGCCAACATCAATGAGGTCAATGCTGTTTATTGGCTTGCTGTTGCAAGCTGCGCAGGGCCTACCCCAGCCCTTGTGCTTACTGTTGTTCTTTTCAGTTTTGTATGCTCTGGTTCTGTTAGATCATCTCTTTGACTCAATGTAGATTTTTCAATCCCTGCCTCTCTTGACTAAAGGAGATTCAAATTACAATGTGTTTGATCCCTGGGTTCTGTAGAAGATTTCTTGCTTACTGTATCCTTTGACCATAACAACTTCTCTCATATAGACCTCCTGTGTGACCTGATGTCAGGGAATATGGTTGCTGCCTGCACTAATCATCCTTTGCTCAAGCAAGTCTGGTTCAGCTTTTTGTTTTCTATTGGAAAGGAGACATCTCTTATTTGGTTTTCGCCAACAGTTTGTCATCCAACTCCTAGAATACCTTAGTTTACTTTCTTTGTGGAGATATGGAAGTCAACATTCCCTCTCCGGCAGAGATTTACTTATTGCTCAGGGTGACATCCACCAAGGCTATTGCAGTCAGTAGTCCTTCTGAACACCCGTCTTTCACTAATAAGGAAAGATGACCATGTTCATCCTCCACTGTCTTTGAATCTATCTCCTCCACCTGAAAAATGTAATCCGATCAAAGTGGAATCATCTCTGGTGTCACAGGAGAAGAACAATTACGAACAGTAAAAAGAACCTGTCCTTTTACAAAAACTCAAACTTGCATCTGACTCAAGAAATAATCCTCTGAAAGTCAAGAGGCTAATTCTCAGTTTACCAGCCAATCATGCGTTTCAGCCATCAGAATGTGGCATGGGAGGTGTGGAAGGTAAGCTCAATGCACAAGACGAGACTGCTTTGCTAATTTCTCCCATGTGACAAGATCTGAGGAGATTTTTTTAAAACACACATATTTTTTACATAACTTTTTTGTGTGTTTGCACAGCAGTTTTGGTTCCCATTCCACAACTGGTTATATCTTCAAAATGTGCGAACAGTTTTAGTCTTCCCTTCTGGTTGTCTCCTTTCCGTTAATCTAGCTATCCTTTCCTATTTCCTTCTCATCTTTTAAAAACTGTTGGCCACTTATCTCATGTATGAGATAATCTTTTAAAAGAGCACCATGTACTTAAGTGATATTCTGTATTTTATGAGCCCCTCTGGTAAGCTGAAAGGTGAGCTCAAGGGCTAGTTTCGTTTGAAGTAAGTGGAAAGAGGGTCTCAAAGATTGTACTGATAGGAGGGTTTCCGAACCCTGGGAAGTCTTTCATTTATTTTCAGGAATTTGTGCCTTTGTTCTTCCATTCTAGCAGGTCTATCTATTGTGACCCTAATCAGAACCAACACTGTCAATAGCTAGGTACCATCTGATTCTTCTGGTTTCCGAGTAAACCAGGTTGTGGTTTGATTAGATGAAGGGCCATCAAACTGGGACTCACAAGTCATGTGTAGCTCTTTCCATATGTTCAATATAACTTTCAGTTTCACCTATGTTTCAAGATGCTTAACGAATTAATTTTTCTTTTTGGCTAAGTAATATTCCACTGTGTTTATGTACTATATTTTATTTAAACATTCATGCATACACAGACACTTAATGCTTCCATGTTTATGCTATTTGTGAATAGTGTTGCTTTGAACATGAGTATGCATGTCTGTTTCTGTCTGATTCGTGGGCTATATATCAGTGTTTGTCAAAGTGGGTGATACGTCCCCTGGAAGGCACTGAAACAATCCAGAGGAGCTACAAAAACAGCTACCTTCACTTTATTCTGGACTGTAGTACAAAAATTTTCACTTTCCAGTTGAAGGAAGGTACTGAATACATTTTTTTTTTCCTGATACGGAAGCAGTAGGCCAAAGTTTGGGCCTATGATA